AAGGCCGCAGTGAATTCTCAAAATATTCTCAATTTATGACAATTATTTAGTACGAGACAGGGAGGTTACAGCGGCGAGTGTGGGCTGAAAAAATGCAATCCAAGCAGATGCGTCATTTTTTTGAAGATGAGTTTTACGAGGTAGGTCATGTTGGATAAATTTTAATTTTTCACTATTTTTCTTTGAGAACATCTCAACGCTTCGTCTTTTTATCCAGGAAGCTACAACTTTTAGAAATTAGGGGCTTAAGTAGTAGCACTTAGCTGTTAGTTGAAGTAGAGTTAAGCGCGTGTAAATGTAGGGGCTCAATAACTATATCTAATACTTCAACGAATTAATGATCGAAAATACATTTGCTCAGAACAAAATTTCCGATCTTCTGTTCCATAGTGAATTTGATTGTAGTTCACAAAAAAAATTTCAAAGGAAAAAGTTACGGGGATTTCAAGCTTGTCCTGCCTGTTTCGCGTTCTTTTGCCCGCCTTCTGTTTCTTGTTCAACCGAAAACTATATACCTTTGCTACTTTTATAACACTATTTCGAGATAATGAGAAAGTAACAACACGAACTTTTCCCTCTAAAATAAAGTATGTTACTATACAACACTCACATCTTCAAGGGCTGGTACCAACCAATCATCCACGACATAGAACACTCCCTTTACAAAGTAATTATGGAACTTGAAAAAGAAGATTGGCCAAAATTTCAGAGTTATATGTTGAATGGAAGCGGAATGAAGGTGAGCTTTTATGGGTAACTCATAAAAAGTTGGGTTATGATGCTTGATTATTAGACTGGAGCTCTCCTCTTCTTTGACTCGGTCACAAAGAAAAACGAGGAGAAGTTTAACGAAATCGTTACTGATATGTATAACTGTACAACTGGAGAAGCGAAAAAGGTGGCGCACGAAATGCTAAAGGACTTCAAACGACTGTATCGTGAACTCCAGGTTTGCTAATCTTGTCACTGGCCCATTTGTGTTAGGAATCAAGTCGATGAAAACCTCATGAGACTGATTGCGCAGAATTAATCCTTAAATGGTAAGGTCAGTCATTAATTTTTTGCTGCATTCTCAGTGTAGTAATTCTGCAGCGAATTCTACCGAAGTTGTATATCATTTTGGATTTTCCTTCTCCCTTTAGAGATGTTTTTTTTAAGGTCAAGGAGAGAGTGCCAATCTAAGTGTAGCGGTTCTGACAAAGTAAGAGCGTAATATGGTTCAAATCTCGCTTAGTTAG